ATATGTCAAAACTAGACTTAATAAAGAACCCCTCCCATTGTTTAGTTAAATTAAAATACAAAAGAAATTAATTAAAATAAAATAAGGGAAAACCATCATATAACTAAGCAATCATTATAATCAATATATTGCATTAATTGTTACTCATTATTTGCTACTCACTGTATGTTACTTACTTACTATTACCTATTACTCATCAGCTACTAAATTTTAAGTGTACTCGATCTAACTTGTGATATAGTGACAATTTTATTTGAGGTATGGTCCCTCTATCAATGGTTGAAGGAAGTGCAGTTCGCACATGGTTGATTGAACTTCACTTTTTGATTATATTAGAGCATGTATAGTGGGGAGCAATCAAAAAGCTCATTTTTGTGCTATCATAACCTGATTTCGATTGGTATTTATTTGAAAATTTTTCCAATGATTTAATTAAAATTAGTTTTCCTATAAATTCAAGTTTGAAGCTTTAATGACAAATTGGAAATTAATTGAGTGAACAAAAATGAAATAAATGTGTGATTGGATTTAATTGTAAGGAGCTCAAAGCTTGAAGTTGTGTAGTGCAAGGATAAATAATGAAATTGGAAGCCAAAAGCGATCAAACTGTAAAAGGTATGAGACATGAAGGGCTAAAGGGAGAAAATCAGTAAACGACGTCGTTTTTATTCAGTTTGAATTTAAAATAAGAAGCCGGGGTTAACCCTAGTCTCTCACGAATCACGATGCTTATGGTCTGCCTCCAGCTTTTCTAAAATCTTCTCGTTAATTTATCCCAAAATCTACTCGAATTTGTGTAAGTCACGGCGTAAGTGAAGAAATTTTTAGAGTCAATTAGTCAATCAGTCAACGAATTAAAAGCAATGCGGAGGAGTCCCCAATTGAATCAAAATTGGGAGTCTTAATTTTTACTCTCTTTATCATTAAATAATTATTTTTTATCATAAAATAACTATTATTTTTGTTTTTATATAATAGACAGAGTGATAACACTTTATTTTATATATGAAAATATCATATTGGGGTATATTATGTTCAACCCCCTATTAAAATTATGTAATAGTTGTAATTGATAATTGTCTTTGTTAAAAAAAAACTATTTATTTTTTAACTTTTTATAAATTAAACATTTAAAGACAATATTTATATTTATCTATAATATTTTTAAAAAAATAAAAAATGATTTTGTGCAATCAGATTATTAATTAATTTAAATAAATAGTGATAAAATTAAAATAAAAAATATGTGTATATTTAAAAAAAATTAATTTAGTATAGATTTAAAATTAAAAGGCAATAGTTATTTTGCTATTGAGGAGTAAAAGGTATAAGAATTTGGATTTAAAAGAGGAAAGATGCATTGAAAACTAGTTGAATTGTATGATTTTAGTTTCCAATAAGAACAGATTTTTATTTGTAATTTAGAAATTAAGATTTAGAATTAGTGAAGGATGTGGGCTTTTTTTTCTTTGGTCTACAAAAGAAGGCTTTTGTCTATGACGAAAAGGGCAGAGAAATTTCAGTAAAACAAATTGAGAAAGACAGTGGGGCAGTCGTGAGACAGAGAGGAAGAAAAAGACAAAAGTTTGTATTTGAAACTTCAAGGAAATAAAGCTTGAATTTCTACTTTCTTACATGCGCATACTTCTCAAATATTATTTCTTATGCGTGGAAAATAATATGAATTTTTATTTTTTCTTTTCTCATGAATCATTCTTTCCTATAAGTATTTTCTTTGAATTGAATTTGCTGAGATTTGCTGCCCTGAATCTTGTCCTTGAATTTCTTTCTTATAAATGAACAAGCATAAGAAACTGAATCAACGGTTGATGTTTAATCATGTGATTTGGCTGTCCGAAATTTTTTTAAAAAAATTACTTATGATTCAATTTTAAATCTAAAAAATTATTGGGCACTATCTGAACATTACCGTTTCATGAGATTAAGGAAAATCAAAACATTTTTGCAATTAAAATGTTAGGATTGATAATAAATATATTAAAATATTTTTAATAAATTAATATATAAAAAAAAATTTATTAAAAATATT